TTCTTGATTTAATATGGCTGATTGACATTAGACAAGATAACAATTCACCAAATATTAACTAAGTCAAAAAAAGGATGAAAGAAAACCACTTGTCCAAAAAGTTGTTATTATTAGTGTTCTTGAAGTTTTAGAGTTAACATAGATCTGATTTAATATTACCGGTAGTATTATATACATTTAGTAATATCACTTTCCTCTTTTCATTTCGTTTTATTTTTTTTTCTTTTGAAATCCACAACAATAATCCCCACAATCTTGTGCAATTTTTATTTACTCTTTATTTGTTGTTGTTTTGCTGCTTTTTGTTAGACATTTTAGAATTACTGTATATATTGCATTCCCCTTTTTGTACCAAAGAACCAGCCTCCTTGACCAGCCTACATTTTGATCAAACCACAAATATTTTATACATTTTATTAATATACCATGATTATGTAGTTTAAACTGCTACAAATGAATTTGCTCTTGTGTTGGCTTGCATGTTTGTTAAGTCCACAGCTGTATACAGCCTGATCAGAGGGCAATAACTGTATAGTTGGTTTTAGGAAAGAAGCAAATTACTTCCTCAAATTTCTAGTATTTTAATATGTTTAAAACATTACTTAAATATTCATTTCTGACGGTTGTTTTCATTTCTTTACATCTTGTGTTAGATTTCGGGGTAGGTATTTTAAGTCAGTTGTAGGTATTTTATGTCAGCTATAGGTATTTTCAGTCAGTTGTAGGTATTTTCAGTCAGTTAAAGGTATTTTCAGTCAGTGTAGGTATTTTCAGTCAGTTGTAGGTATTTTCAGTCAGTTGTTGGTATTTTCAGTCAGTTAAAGGTATTTTGAGTCAGTTAAAGCTATTTTAAGTCAGTTATAGGTATTTTAAGTCAGCTATAGCTATTTTCAGTCAGTTGTAGGTATTTTCAGTCAGTTGTTGGTATTTTAAGTCAGTTAAAGCTAATTTGAGTCAGTTAAAGCTATTTTGAGTCAGTTATAGGTATTTTCAGTCAGTTAAAGCTATTTTAAGTCAGCTATTGGTATTTTGAGTCAGTTAAAGCTATTTTAAGTCAGCTATTGGTATTTTGAGTCAGTTAAAGCTATTTTAAGTCAGTTAAGGGATTTTCAGTCAGCTATAGCTATTTTAAGACAGTGATCTGTATTTTGGCCTGATAGTCTTTTGAAGCATGAATATGAAGTGTATATTGAAATGAAATAGGATTGGATAGGTCTTAGTAACTTGAAATACATCAAGTTTGGAATTAAATTGGCTTAAATGACGATTACTGTTCTGTATTGAATTGGTCTTTAAGATTGACAAAGATAAAGGCTCAGAGCAGACTGTATCTTTAATATCAATAAATATAAAGTTCTCAAAGATAACAAAAGGTTTAAGATCATTTGGTAGTGAGTGTAAGAGCTGAAATATGATGCAGTTAGATATGGACTTAAATTGTGGTTTGACTTTTCCATTTTCCAAAATTTGAAAAATGGAAATCATTGTGGGCATTGACCAATTTGCCTTAGTAAAAATATAGCCAATGACAAACCATGAGGATCAGGAAGTTTCAGACTGTCACCAAGAATGATTGGGTTTTGTTAGGGTTAAAAAAGGAGATAGTAAAATTATATTAGTTGTTTGACAAACATTTTGAATTTGTAAAGTGTAAAATAGTATTAATTGTTAAAGTTTATCTTGTACAGAGTTACTATTAAATATCCCAGTTGTTATTTATTGCACTGTTAACAATTTAATGTACATTACATACTTTTTCCTCATGAATTTCAATGGAACTTTGTGATTAGAACTATGCATAAGAAATGAAAAGGTTGACTATGTCTCTGCACTACAATACAGTATATGCTAACTGATCAAACGGTATTCCATGTTGGTTTTTTCTGTTGCAAATTTGATGAATAGCTTAAAGGGACAGTTTTGCCATCTGTTTGAACATAGCCTCAGAAACAGAAATTTTCTAGCTAAGCTAATCAGTAATAGTGTTCACAGCTCACTGTTGAAATTAGAGCCTCCAAATCCATGAGTGTCCAGAATAATCTGCGTTTTAAAGTTAAAATGACGACTCATCTATCTTGAGACTCTGTGATATACAGAAAAGACATCTATAGAAATAGAAAGTGACATGCTTAGTTTGAAGTATTTTTGAAGGAATTTTGCAATTCACTCCTGAAAAGGGTGAATCTGTCCCTTTAATTACCCCAGTAAAGTTATACAAAATGTATTGTAGTTAGTAGGATGCCTGAAAATATCAAATTGTGTTGGTTGTAGTTGAAATCCTCCACCATAGATATTTTTATTGAATTGGAGTTACAAACATTGTGACCGTAGTTATAGGACAATTTAATAAAGTTATGTAAAGACTTTTTCAAGGAAAAAAATAATTTGTGTATCGGAGACACTGATAGCTTCAATTTGCACCATTCTAATTTTCAATCAGATGTCTGTGGTTCCTGCATTTCTACTCAAACTATGTCTTTGATGACGTCACTAATCACAAAATGTGCTTAATCACTTAAGGCACTTTGCAATAAGTGACGTAAACATTTAGTTTTATTGGAATTGCTGGAACCACAGACATCTAATTGAAAATTTGAATGGTGCAAATTGATGCTATCAGAATGCCCAATACATTTTATTTAAAAGTAATCTTTGGATACAGTAGATAGTTGAATTGTTTTGTGATAAACTTTTGAAAACTAAATGCTGTAATAGATATAGAATTGAAATATAATCCTGTAAGTAAAATAGGCTCTGGTGACATTATGTGATATTTGTGTGTTAAGATAAACCTTCTATAAACCTAATGAATATTATTATTTATAAATGTTTATTGTTTTCAAAGATCTCCTGAATTCATTTAATAACTGTTTTTTTTCTTTTCTCTATTTTTTTTTTTTTACTGATCTGTTAGTTTAGTTTGACATGAAAAAGAATTTTTAAATTTTGTACACAGGGTACACAATCTAGTGGCAATAAATTTTTTGTTTTATCTTACCATTTTATTATGTTTCTATTTTTACTTATTTATTTCTATCATTTTGTATTTTATTTTGCACTTTGAATTATTTAAGTTTTTTCCAAATGGGAATAACAAGATAAATAAGGAAATATCACTTTTAATTTTTGTTATTAAAGATAACAAGATAACAGATGTAGCTTTATTTGAAATTTTTAAATTCAGTTCTCATAAGAGTAAACCAAAATAAAAGAGTAAACCAAAATAAAAAAAAGTATCAACTTGAAATCTGCAAACTCACCCAGGGAATAATGCCAAAATGTAAATATGAAAAATAAACTAACAATTGTTAATGTAGCTTCCAGCCAGAAAATAAATCAATAAATTTTCAATTTTGAAATATTTGAATACTGGATTGCATTAAAGGAAAAGAAATATATCAATGATGAGAGAACAATTGTCATAATAAATTTAATAAATAATTTGTTATTTTATAACTACATAATATATATCACCAACCATCAAATTTATTTAGGGCATTCTTTATGTATTTAAGATAATGATGTATTATTTTGCTTGTTATTCCCATTTCCACTTTATTGTAAATTTGACCAATTTCATATAAGTTATTCCTCATATTTTTTCTTTTCATTTTTTTGCTTTATTTTTTATGCTCAATTTTAAATTAATCTGTTTATGTCTTAATTGTGAATTTGTTATTTATTACCTCTTCAAATAAAACGTAAAGAGGTTTCCTGTAGCAGGGACACTGATAGCATCAATTTGTACCATTCCAATTTTCAATCAGACCTCTGTCGCTCCTGCAATTCCACTATATTGGGCAAATTGATGCTATCAGTGTCCCAAATAAACATAAAAAATTTAGAAAACCTCTTCACAATACCTATAAGTTTTTAAATGATTTACTTATGAACAAATTGAAATAAAAGTTAATTCCTAATTAATAGTATTTGAAATTCAATTATAAGGGAATTTTACTTAATACAAAAAATCTCTTTTTGTGATTTTGAATTGTTCATACTGTTTTGTTTGAAAATTAGGATTGTTAAGAAAATCAGTAAGAATAGTCAACACAACCATTTGTAAAATATAATTCATTTTGTCCCACTACATTTTAATTCATTTGCTTGTTTTCCATAAAAAAAAAATGTTCCCATTTTATCATAAATTATTTCCAAATTTTGTCAGTTTTTTATATGTATTTATGTTTGCATGCATTTACCTAAAATGATTTGGATAGTTTAAACAAACCTAGTCCTAATTTTTAATTCAGTGTCTAACAATTTTTTTTAAATTTCTTTGGCGGTGGCTAGTTTTCTTTTTTATTTATAGTTTTTTGAAGAAATTGGATTTTTCAATCTAAGATATTATTTAGCTTGTAAATTTTAAAGGTTATTTAAAGGAACAGATGCGCCATTTTTTTTGACCAATCATACTTTAGTCTCAGAAACGGGAATTTTTTAGCCAATCAGTAATAAGTGATCAAAGCTCATCGTCAAAATTTGAGCCTTCAAATCGATATGTGTCCAGAATTATCTGCAATTGAATGTTAAAATGACGACTCGTCGATTTAAGATATTCTGTGATATATAGAAAAGACATATATAGAAATGGTGTTTAAAATTCCTAGTTTGAGATATTTTTAAAGGAATTATGCAATTTTGCTACATTTCTAGTATTTCTGAAGACTATTTACATATATTCAAGATTAAAATCAACAGCCCAAAAATGGCGCATCTGTCCCTTTAAGTTATGTTCATTACTATGTTACTGATAGTAATTTTTTGGATTCAGTAGACAACTGAATTCTTTTAGTTTTTCAGTCTGTTCTATTTTCAAATGGTAACATAGTAATGGCACATTTTAAGAAATTACCTGCAAGATTTACTCTATATTTTATATGAGGTTTGGCTTGCTGCCAGATTAAGTAAACACATCAGAATTCTGCATAATTTTTAGTCTAAAATCTTGTTTCAAACATGGTCAATAGCCTATACATAGAATCTTTGCTAAAATTGCAAGTTTGCTTTTAAATCCTTAAAAATTTGTCTTCTTCTCTTGTAAAAATATAGAGTAACAAATTGTTCTGCTTTTTATTCACAATCATTTGATATTTTATGAATAGATTAGAATGAAAACATGTAATAGTTATTTGATTGAAAATATGAAATGATTTTGAATAAACTTATTTGAAATAAATGAGATCTTGTATTATAGTGTTAAATTTCTGTACAGATTATTCAAAACAGTTCTTTCCTTGTTAGTCAAAGTTGTTATTCTTTGAAAGTATGTTAGCTCTTTAAAGGTATAATACCTCTCAGGATGACCAAAAATTGAAATTTTTAGACTTGCTTAGAATGAGTCTTTGCTCATCAGTGGCCTTACCTTGTGTCATAATTATACAAAAGAATCCCTCTGTAAGTATTAACCCATTAAACAAAGAAGCATGTTTCAATAATTATTTAGTTTAATGGATATATTGTCTTATATAGAGATTCTATTCTTTAGTCATGGTACCTAGTAAGTCTAACTGATGAATATATACACCTGTTGACCGTGTTTGAGACTTTAAATTTATGTCCTTTCTAAGAGGTAGTATCCTTTTAATATATGGTGATTCTATTTGCCTGTGGTGTGTGACTGACCAAATGTATTTCTAATGTGTTTTTTTATTGTTCTAATGTTCCTTATTCAAAGCAGAAACATCTCCATACAGATTTGTTTTGATGTAAACGGCCTGTAAGCCCTTCAGACAAATCATAAGATTTAACTTTTTGTGGCAAATGCTGTTCAGTGTTTAGCCTTGGCCAATATGAAAGGAAATGACAAGGTTCATTTTATACCATTGTAGCTAGTCAGAGCTCAATTGAGTGAGTTTTGAGTGAATTTTACTATTCTGGGGTAAGTAGATCTCAGAATTTAACAGAAAATAGAACAGTCCTGATCAGAATTTATCATGAAATATCATATAGTTGGTAACAAATACTCTAGTTGCATTCTGATGCAGGATAAGATAGTCATATTATTTCAAATATATGGTATATTATTTGTTCTTTTAGGTATTCAGATGAGGTTTTCTAGCACTTGTATGTAAATGGTGACTCTTTGTAGCTTCTATCTGCATAATGACAGTTTCCTAACTTTAGACTTCTATTCTAATATTTCAGGTAATTTCAGATTCTGATATCATTTGGTATCTGCGAACCTTTTTGGTTGTTTTTCCTGTTTTTGAATTAACAAAAACTCCCAACAGTAAAGCAGAATGGGAAAAATAGAAGCTACAAAGTGTCCCCAATACACATACAAAGACTAGAATACCTTACCATTTTACCATACAAAGAATCGCTGATTTTATTGTTTTCTAGGGCATAAAGAAAAGACTGTAAAAATATCACTATATAAATACCTCAGAACAATATAAACTTGTCTCCCATTCCATCAATATTTATAGAATGGATAGATATTGTATTACCCTACTCTATCTATGATATTATAGTCACCTACTCCATGTATATCATTTCTTTTTTTTCTCAATAAAGGGTTGAAAGCTATTAGATCTGGTGTCTACATGTCTCAGTGGTTTCAAATTATTTACTTGCATCAGAAGTAAGAAAGAAAGAAAGAAAGAACTATATTTTACAAGGATAACAACTTAGGTTCACAGTTAAGGACCCTTTCTACCAGCTGGTCCTTGCCCAAACCTCTTGGCATTGATCTTTCCCGGATTATCCGTACCCATTTACAGCTGAGTCGACAAGAGTTATGAGTTAAGATGACTTATTCAAGGTTATCTGACTATCACACGCCATTTGCTCGACGCAACCAAACAACGTCTTTTAAAGAACCAACGCTCTAACTTACTGTGCTATAGAACACTCACCTGTTGAGTATTAGACTAAGGAATAGAATCTCTGAATAAGACGATATACCCATTAAACTAAATAATTATTGAAACTAAGCATGTTTCCAAATTACTTAGTTTATTGAATTATTACGCATTTTTATGGATTTATTGGATTATAGAGGGATTCTGTTGTTTAGTTTACTGAATATTTACGTTGTTTTATGGATTTATTGGATTATAGAGGGATTCTGTTGTTAAGTTATGTTAAGTCCACTGATGAACAAAAACTCACTTTGGCATAATTTCAATTTTTGGGCCATCCAAGTGGTAGTATAGGTTTAAACGCCTGGAACTTATTTCCGCGCCTATCAGGTGATATCAGAGAAACTGTTCTTTGGGTAGATTTCTGCTAAATTAAAGATGTTCTGTGAATCTAAGACTGCAGCAATGCAAATCTATGAAACGCCTGACGTCAAAACCAGACTGATTTTTCTATACAAACTAGACTTGACTCATCACAATAAATATTTCTACAAATAAAATACTTTCTCAATTTTGGTGTAGAATTACTATAAACACAGACTAAAATCGTTATTGGTCAATTTCCAAATTGCACTTGAAGTCTTTGAAGTTTTTATTTAAAGATAGCAATATCACAGACATATATACACAAAAAGTTCCTGGAATTGTGCCTAAAGTAGGTGTGGTCGTCATATTTAGACAATACATCCTATAAGAAACGGTAGCTTATCGGTCATTCACTTCACAGCACGTAATCCGAGATGTGTAGGATTAAACCGGCCGGCTGAAATTACTACCTCACCGACTGTACCCCACTCAGGCCCTGACCCTATGCCCTTGTAGCTACAGGCCTGACCCCATCAACACGCGACTCTTGATACGTAGGTTAATTCTTTAACAGCACATTATTTCAAGCAACGTTACAAATCTTGTCCCACTTTCAACAGTGTACCGGTGCCGAGATTCAAAAGTTCAGATAGCAATATCATGATTATGTGAGGTTCTTCATGCAGCGAAATGGTCGCTCGATCTTAATAATATGGTCGTTCTTTACGCCGAGAAAGAATCTTCAGGATACCGTTCAACATACCATATGGACCTACGCCGTCTTATTGTCGGGCGTCTTAGTTGCAGACGGGGTGGAATGAACTTGGGTTTTGTTTCCAAAATACTGATAACAGAAACGATAGTTACTATAGCTATCATGATAAACACTATTATACAGATAAAGGTAATATGATTGGTAGAGTGGTCGGCATCTGGTAAGTACACTGGACCTTCATTCATAACTTTGTCTGTTGTTACCCAATTACTCTCTACTGAAATATAAAGCAATAAACTTACTGTGTTAAACTATTTATTAAAAATATGAAACAGATTTCAGCAATTATTTACCTTTAACGTTTGTGATTCACGAGTTACAGGGCAGAAAAGAGCACCCCTCATATAATTATAACCCCTTTATTGAAAAATGATTTCAGCAGTATAGACGTATCTTAAAAGCTTTGAGTTAGTGAAGGGCACAATATGATGAGCATTCCTATAGCCTTTTTTATTGTTTCTAGTTATTCTAGAATAATTTGACCAGGATTTTTCTCGATCCCGATATCATATAATCTGAATAGCTGTCGGCTTATTTGAATCACAGGCGCCAAAAACATCGGATAGATTATTAAAAAAGGTACAATAAAAAGCATCCCAGGCGAGAATGCATTTGAATGTTTTTGCTGGTAGCCATGCTTCCATTATCGGAGGTCTTCGAATTTTCTTTAACTTAACTTCACATCACATGTAGAATACTTGTAGACATACTCGCCGCAAAGTCCATCTGACATGTGTTTGAGCATTGAACATATTAAAGTTTCGATGGACAAAGTCAGCTGCTGAGTCGAAGATGTTTCAAATCCATGCAGATGTATAAGGGTGCCAATAGACCATGCATGGTGTCCGGTTCGGTGTACGATGTGGGATTAACAATACAGTAGAAAATAGTAGAAACGAATCATCGTGTGCGGACCGTATATGCGTCGTGCGTTCACTAGTTCTATTTTCTATACTGTATCGATAATCCCTCAACGCACACCCCGTACCGGACACTGTCTATTCGCGGCTTAACGCTGAACCGTACGATTCAGACTGTACTTCATTTATTCCTTTATTTCAATGACTACAAGAGTAGAAACTTCAATCTTCCATTAGAACGCAAGATGTTTTTAAGTATAAAAAAAATGAAATATGTGGGAATCTTGTAAACGAAAATGAGTTTATTTATAATGTTATAATCTTTAAAACTTTGGTTTTGATTAAATATTTCATTTCTATTACACTATTTCAGTAGATAACTTAAATCAACCATAGTATTCCAGCCGGTTAAAATAGAACTCATTTTATCTAAAACATGGACATATACAAACGGTATAGGTAAATAGAGAGAAAAAGTTAAATCTTTATTGATGAGAGAATTCCAATGAACAGCATCCTGGCGTTTGTGATCAACTGTGGTGTTAAATAAATCAAAGATAGCATTGCAGAATGAAGTAATTTGAGGTAGCATTTAGACGTTTACCGCCACCTCTAAAATGGTGGCATCCAAGATTGTTCCGAGGAAGGTCCGACGAAGCCTTTTTAGCGCTTCTATCAACCAATCATCCAAATGAAATGTGTTTATAAACCTCACCAAGGCAGCTAGTTCAACAAAACATACTTTGAATCTTACCATTTAAATATTGTCAATGATGTAAATATGAAGAAAATTCGTGAGATCATTAAAATTGTTTAGGCTAGCCTGAACCAAAAAAAAGCAATACGTTCATGATACTTATACATTTTTTGAATCAAGAGTGATAACTCAAAAAATGTTGATTGAAAACTGCCAAGTTGACTTCTTTCTGTACGATGTGGCTGGTGTAGACCTTCAAAAGCGAAGACAGGGGTAGGTTTGGTGGAAAGCCATGATCCTTTAGCAAAGCAACGGTACCGTTGCTAAAGGAACATGGTTAATTCAAGTATATTAGGCGATTCATCCGATTATATATATGCAGTGTGAAGTATGCTTTTAAGCCCACACCCATATTTTTAAGACGTCATTGATGAATTGAAACACATGCAGTTTTAGGAAAAAAAATAAGAAAATAAATTGCACATCATGCATTAACTACTTGGTTATTCCACCTGTTAATGTAATGCATCATGGCAATAAATTGTTAAGGAAGATATAGACTAGAACACCCACATCAAAATAGTGGGTGTATATAAATAGAGCCTATAGTCTAGACAGATAACATTTATTTTAACATTTCCTATTTCTCACTGCTATACATACATACTCTAATTTATATTGTATAATAATGTAGGTATTGGCACCTAATGAACGGATCAAATGTACATTGTTGGCCCCATTGTTCTAAGAATGATGCTAGAGGCCTGTAAAGTATATTATGAATTGTTGGCCAAATATCATTTTTCTATTAATTCTTTCTGAAAGATTTTGAATAGTAATTTTTTTTTATTTACCTACAATAATACCGATTTTTAAAAATTCATTTTTCAGGCCGAAGTCGACCGATTTCTTTAATGGAATTTTTATTATCAAAATGAGACCAATTTTTTTTTAGATAAAGCCATACTATATGTATGTTTTTTTTGTTTTTATGTTGTTATTGAAAAACGATGCAATTTACCAGGCGATTGTTAATTTCTATGAAACTTTATCAATGATGAGATTGATCTATTATAGTCATTTACCGAACAGATTTTTCGCTGAAACAGATGATTTTCTGATAAAAGTGCAGAAATCACATGTCAGAAAAGGTGTATGTTTATGGAAATTTTTTTACACATTACCGGAAACAAACGTTTTGAAAAATTATAAAAAAAATAATTTATAAGAAAACACGAGAACATTAGATCAGTAAAAGGCAGTAAAAAGTTTTGTCTTATCTATAAGAGATCCAGTCGACTAAATATTTACTTAGTTTGTTGACAGAGCTATCCCCTTTGCTACTCCGAATTGGAATTTGATAGCTACTATCCGACATTCCTGCAATTCAACTAAAAAAGAGAAGTATTCTATTGAAACTCCGGGTCGCTAAAAAGATTCACAATGTTGAAATTATCAATGATGGCATCAATGAATTCTAAATCTGAAAAGTTTTTTGAATTTTTTTTTGTATATTTTGAAGAGATTTTGAATATCAGCCTCAAAATAGTACTGATAGTATTCGAAGTGAATTGCGTTGATAAAAATATAATATAATGTTAACATTTAATAGAAACACATTTCTCTCCTAGAAACTTTTGGCTGAAAATTGTCCTCTGTAAAAACAAATTTGGAAGTGTTCATGATTATATTTTTATCAATGCAATTAAAGACTAACATTACTATTTTGAGGCTGCTATTCCAATTCTCATTAAAAAAATAGGAAAAATTTCAATTTTTTTTTACTCTGATCAGACTAAACATCTCAAGTTAAAGCATGAAGCCGTTCTCTACAGAGATAAATATTAATATTTCATATTTTATCCAGCGATTCGACATCGAAATAATAAAGTCTACACTTATCCTCTTTATAATTAGAACTTATTGAGTTAAATTGGCAAATTGAATTCTTATAAATACTTTTGGGATCAAAATACCAATAAACAAATCATATAGGTCATATATGTATTTATATAACACTTATTGTCCTAATAAAATAAAATTCGTCTTACCTGTAGAGACAGTAAAATTAATAGTAGTTCCTGATGCCATGTTCAATTTCAGTCCAAGACACGATTCCTGGTAGTCTTTATATGAATCATTTTACGGTCTTACTAATGTTTAATTTTACACTGGTAGAAAAGTTGTGCAAGTTATCTCATAGAAATAAAGTTCAGTTTTTGTCTGATTCTTTTATACCTAGCACGAGAAATGAAAAAAATAAAATGGTTACGATGATTGACGGATGGTTTATGAATGAATGTTAATCGTGAATGAATTACGGGAAGTTAGATATGAGAATGAGAAGGGAATCGCTATTAAAGATCAGAAAAGTTGTTCTGTATAATATGGAATCGTGACACGAGTATGATCCGAAAATCACAGAATATCACTTTGTTCACATCAGTAAACCATTATGTGACTCTCAAAACGTTAGTTTGTTACCATTGTGTGATACATTATCACCGAATATCTTTCAATGAGATGGAGATTGTGTGACTCCCAAAATTATTTATCACCTCCTTCACACAGTTGTGACTCTAGTCACTTCGTTCATTTCAATAAACCATTAAGTGTCCTTGGTCTGTTTTGACTAGCCTCTGTGATCTTTATGTGATTTTAACAGCTTTAATCAACCGACGTGTGACTCTGGCAACTGTAATCAACCGGTGAGACAATCGCTTTGTGCCTAGCTTGTGTGTCTGTGATTCTTAGAACTGTAATTAAACCAGTGTGTGACTCTGCGACTGCAATCAACCGTGCGTGACTGGCAACTGTAATCAACCAATGTGTGACCCTGGCAACAGCAATCAACCGTGCGTGTCTGGCAACTGTAATCAACCAATGTGTGACCCTGGCAACAGCAATCAATCAATGTGTGAATCTGGCAATTGCAATGAACCAATGTGTGACTCTGGCAACTGTATCAACCAATGTGTGACTCTGGCAACTGCAATCAACCGTGCATGTCTGGCAACTGCAATCAACCAATGTGTGACTCTGACAACTGTATCAACCAATGTGTGACTCTGGCAACTGCAATCAACCAATGTGTGACTCTGGCAACTGCAATCAACTAATGTGTGACTCTGGCAACTGTATCAACCAATGTGTACCTCTGGCAACTGTATCAACCAATGTGTACCTCTGGCAACTGTATCAACCAATGTGTACCTCTGGCAACTGTAATCAAGCAACGTATGACTCTGTTATTACAATATGTAATTTCTCCAATATGTTTGTGATTCAACAACTTCAATCAACTGACGTGTGACTGAACTCAAATCCATAAATGTTTATCTCCGCACATTCTGTGAAGTTATACACATAATATATGCACAAGTCAACAATTCATCAAAGAATACGCTGAATAGATGGCATTCCAAAGTAAATTCAAAACATAATGTATCTTGTTTTCAAGACGATGATTTTCTTTCGTTACAGGTGTTAGTTTTTTCCTCTTCTGACAACATTCATAGAGATATATAATATCAACCTATATAAATTACCTATATTCTCAAACAGATGTGTTTACTTCTTTTTTTCCATTGATTATTTTCTCTGTTTCAATACAGGCCTCTATTATATTTTATGACATATTTTGATAAAACTTGGTTTGGATTTTACTCAATAATCAATATGTTATTTTATAGTTATATGCCTACTATAATTTTGTCTGGCTTATATTTGTAACGCCTAGAGTTCGCGCGAATTTTGCCGTTACACCTATTCAAACGGTGTGGCGTTACAGCCGAAAAAAATGGTTGGCACCCTCACCTCCGAATTTTTATACTTTTTTTATATGTGCCAGAATACACCAAATCAATTCTATTTTTAAAAATTTGCTGGAGGAAGAACCTTCTCAGACCATGCGCCTATTCACTATTCCCAAAGTTGCCGAATTTTTGAATCTCAACCTCGACAGTTGTCACCCCATTCAGTCAAGCTGTCCGCCAAAAATATGTACTTCCAGTTTCGGGAGACTGACGCCGCTACTGCTCATGTAAAAAAAAATATCAAGAGTCATTGTAGGCTATATGCCCTGAAATGAAGTTAATTTGTGATAGATACACTATTACAGCGCATCTCAAACAGGTTCTCAGCACAGAAGAAATGAAAATATTCTGTAAGATCCTAACATTGAGATGTATATGTAGTTTATTATGTTTTAAGATGAAAATAGTGAGAGGCTGTTTAATAAATGGTTTCTTAATATCAGAATACGAGGAAGTATTGCTGCGTTTTTAAGGATGAGCCCTTGATGACTGGTTGTTCTAAATAACCTTGGCTGCAACAACATCAGTGAAGTGAAATGATCCTCATATGAAAAATCTTCTTGCAACCTAAATCTGTGACGCCCAGACTATTCCTGTCTACGACGATCTTTCGTTGAAGCGGTGTAGACAAAGAAGAACTGAATGAGCTAGCTAGTTGCAACCGCAAACCTCACTATAGTTGCAGATTTTGACGACTCACGGCCCCACAAGATCAAACCTTTCTTTACAAAGTAGAACTTCAGCAATTGATGACAATTGCGATTGATTAATCATCCGTACGTAAGTTTACTGAATCCACAGATGACGCGAGTTGCTGGCAGAGGTTAAAAATCCACCTGCTTTCAGTGTGGCTACACATTTATCGGCGACCTGATAATCTAAAAGCCCTTGAGTTGTACCTGGTAATATTATAGTGAAGGGATGGTAAATTAACGACCACTGGTATGATATGGCAAAATTAGTTTCTGTAAGAATTTCACGTATTGACATTGGGCTACTTTTGGGTAAACGCTGTTTTACTATGACGTTACAAGTAAATTAACGTCACACTCGCAGACTTTAGTTCTCAAGTTAAAGTCACGCTGCTAGTTTCCAGAGAAAAATCAGTGAAATTCCAGCAATTTCAACGTATTCTTAAAGTAAAGAGATGACTATTCTGTAAGTATTTATATTCTGCACTGTATTGGCACTAATGGTGCTTGACAGACTTGATCTCGATTCGAGAACACCCAATACGCCTACTGTCGTTTGTTTTCCCACAAAAATGGTCTAACATCCATATAAAAGATATCATACATAAACTTAGATAAGTCAAAACAGCATCATAATTGGCCCCAAATATTTAATAAACATTTAGTAGAAAGTTCCCAAAAGAAAGGTCGTTTTGACACTAAATAGAGCACTATCGCTTGAATGTAACTCAAACTTTCGGCCAGATTGCTGAAAACATCGTTTATAAAAAGACATTTTGTCACAAAATAGTTCTTGTTTGATTTGAAAATGCGATCATGATGAGCACAATGTTCCTAGATATATCCGAAAGATTAATTTTTGTCTGAGTTGAACATTGAAACATAAAAGAAATTGCAATGTGTCCGATGACTGCAAGCAAGCCCTTCGCGAACCGGAGGCTAATGTACTATCCAACCATTCTTTAAATCCTTACACAAGAATTTTGCATACTCAGAAAGCTTCAGGAATAAGATGGGGCATTTCTTATTTCATTTTATTGAAAATTTTTGTTCTAAAAGCCAAAAGAGAGCGATTATGGGGTGGGGCTTGTTTCTGAGGGAACTCCATTGTTTTCTGTTCACTTATATCTATTATGACGTCATAATGAACATAACGTCAAATTGGTCTATCAGGCATTAGCTTTTGGATTTTTCAAGACAAAAGCAGTGTTTTCACTTTTCTGTAATATCTATTTTGGAATATTGTTCAAATTGACAGAATATTATGGCTATCATGTAAGTCAGTGGTTTTCAATCTTGTTTTTTCTTTTACCCCCTTCAGGATCCTTGATCGATTGTATGACCCAATACACCTTTTTCCAATCTTCATATTTGTATATTTCAGAATGCCAGTAATAAGCTATGTTGTGGATGAGATTGTATTGGATTTTTTTCGAAACAACCAATACGAAGACCAACTCACAGCTGGCAATGGTATGTACAAATTCCGCCGCCCAAAAAATCTCAAATTACAACAAATTACCTAAATTAAAAAATAATTTAACAAAAATGTCCAAAATACGTTTCTAAAGTTTCTATAAAACTTTTTTTTCTCGCATACAGCAAATTTCACTTTTATTTTCAGACTTTGGTGCAAACCAAAACAACAACAACAACATCAAAGACGACAATAACAACAACAAGAAATCCACCCAGGATACGTTCAAGGAAGATGTTTTTAATTGGGCAGACGAACCCTGGACTCCCTGTAACGATGTTGAGGTCCCTGACTGGGCCAAGATGGAAGGTATGGCCAATCATCTATTAAATCCCCATGACATTTCGTTTACTGCTTTTGATTGGAACATTATCCATAAGAATGAAACGGGTGGATTTTAGTATCTTTTAGTCTGATTTATGCGAGCTAGCGCCTGTTAGGATGGGTTCTCCGTTTTAATAATTGTTGCTCAACTAGTTATATCAATTCCTTCGTCCTGTGTGTTGGGAACACCAAAGCTACTTTCAGATTTCGGATTTCAGTGCTCTATTTCCGAGTAAAAATATTTTCCAATGGTTTTAGTGTTTAATTTTGATATATTGCAGATCCGACGACTGACGACTTCAATCCTGAGTTGATATGGGCAGAGGACCCATGGACCCAGGTACCGCTCGTCGGTCTTCCAACATGGATGTTGTTGCCCGGTATCGACTTCCCTGTAGAAGGAGAAGACCTCTTTGTAGACACTCCAGTCAACAATGGCGAAGATGACGCTGCATTCTTAGCCTCCGGTATCGAAATTGTTAATTGGAGTGATGAACCGTATGTTCAGTTACCCCTAGATGTACCAAGATGGGCCCTGCTCCCCGGTATCGACTTCCCGGTTCACGGCGGAAACAACAGTCCCTATTGGAAGGATCAACTAAACGATAAGTTCAATAAACGAGGACAATTTCGTAGAAAGGTTAATACATCAAGATGTCATAATAGAACAAGGGAACATGGTAGCTCTTTCCATACAAACAATTCAAACAAACCAAATCACCAAGAGCATCTCTGGAATTCCAAAAAACAGTAAAGATTTCAGACGAAACATTCCTTTTGAAAGTACTATGGTTATTTTTTTGTAGCATTTTTGTTTTGGAGGGGGAGGGGGGGGGGGGGAGTTTGGACTCTGTTTTAAGAACTAAGTTCAACTACTATATTTTTTAATTGGTACATATATATTATAGTCTATAGTATTATTGTTTATATTTTGAACTTTATTTGACCAAAATAAATTTATTTTATATTGACATAACCAAACAGTTTTTTTTCTATAATCAATGTCAATCAGTTGCCCAAAATAATCGAAGAGAGGTGATTGAGATGGGTCGCAGTTCTCTAATGAAGTTTTTAGATAAAATTATATTATATAAACCCGGTTTTGAACTCTATCCAGATTATAATGAAACCAATATAGAGTGGGAAATACCTAAATTTGGCAGGCCTAACTTATATGTAGCTCTCTTAATTTTGCAGTAGTCTAATGATACTAACTGAGCATAACTTCCAAAACGTAATTAGTTTGAATTACCGACGAACTCTAGGGTAGGCCTACTCTCATAGAATGATATCCATGAATAGGCCTACGCGTATAGCAATGCAGTTTTAAACCATAAACACAACCGACCACCCTGATTGCACAAATATCTTTGACCATGACCAACTATGCTTTCCTCATTTTCAACCTCACTAATACATATAGAGGTAAGTAGAATTTTTAAAGTGTTTGTGAAAACATGCACGATTGTGTTGAAACCTGTACGTCTAATGGTTATCCTTCAGTTCTTTAGCTAAAGATTGTGGACCACACAGAAAGACTTTTACCTTCCCGTGTTTATGTTATCACCGCATAGACGAAACATTTGCCTATATAACAGCCTCTGATGCTATTTTGACAGTGGTAGACAGAAAAACTAGGCCCTTTCTTCGTGGAAATGCGCAAGTTTTTTTGAACATATTTATTTAAACCGGATCCTCAAAACCCAGTTAGGCCTATATGGATGGATGGATATTTTTTCATTTCAGCCATACTATCATTATCCACATAAGCCACTAGGCCTAAGTCACGTCTGTGGTTCCATCTACGTTTTCTTTTGTTAACTTCAAGGGTCACAGGGTCAAGTGATACGAACTAGGCTATGTTTTAATAAACCGGAGGTGTGGAAAATCCTAATTATAACCTAACAACAAGGCTTAGTTTTTCTGACTCTACTCAAGCTCACAATAGCTATCAGAGGCAGATGTTTCAGATGGTACTACCGAAAAGAAAAGAAAGAAATAATTGATCCTGAACACCACAAATCAAAACTGTTATAATCTAGAAGGTACAACGGTCTCATGGCCATGCTGACTGTCGGCGACGTAAGCAGATTACACCTGCCAGACACCACATTCATAATAATATAGGATACTTTGGTAAATAGGAAAACTTTTTTTTCTAGAATAGAATCCACGATAATTAGAATAATTCTGAGTGTACATTTATGTTTATTTTCTACTTTTTAATACAAAATGTTATTACTTCGTTTTTCGGTAAAAATGAATTCTTACGCTTAGTAACGACCTTGACTTTGACACGATTTAGACCAATGAAATGACGTCTTTGCGCTTCAATATGGCGGACACCAGTGATGGAAAATAAAGTAAGTTTTTCAACTTTAAGAGATTTTGTTTTAGAAAAATGAAAGGAGATATATATATAAAACAACAGAGTGAAAATATATAACGTTGGTAATTCTCGTAAAAGGAGAGGAGTAACAAGTTGATTCCCATCAATTGACATTTAATTTATCTTAGACACAAAAATATTTACGTTTCCATTCCCATTCCATTCCCATTCCATTCAACTGCACTGGCACTGCACTGGCACTGGTACTGGCACTGGTCTTGGACTTCAAATTCAATTCATGACCACATTTCCATCAACGCCATTAACATTGATTCAATGATTGGGGACAATGAAATGACTCTTGTTGGCAGCCTTTTTAAGTATCGCTACCAGTACAATACCGTAGGTTGGCAAAGTTCATATCACATTGACAAAAAAGACTAGGCCTAGTCTAAAATAAAAAAAAATGTCCCTAAACTTTTCTGAAAGATTTAATTAAATTTTGCAAATAAGTTTTAGAACTTGATATCTGTATCATGGACATAACATTAAATGTCAGTTTATGAAGTAGGTTACTGGTACCTATGTTATTTCTAGATGGGGTGTAAGGCTTACTTACTTACAATATCACCTCGATATGGTCTTTAATAGTCATGTATTGTTGCTGCTAAGTAAATTTTATTTTAACATTCCATTCATGTATGTATTATGAATGAATTATTCATTATTTTCCAATCTTACTTTATTAATAGGATGCTATTTTTTTCAGATTTTAACCAGATTGATGGTAAACTTGTGAAATAAATAGCATTTAGACAAAAATGTAAATACAGTGAGAATCAATTTTGATATATTGCTAAATATCCACTAACAAAGTGAGTACCAGTGTTGATAATGCAACTTGAGTACCAAATGAAAGCTGTTTGATAAAAATTGTCATGTCATACCCAACTAGTACTTACTAGTACTGAATAAGCTTATTTGACATTTATTGGCTTCAGTGATGGAGCCAAAGGCAGCCCCAAAAGCAAGTTTTTCAGGCAAAAGTCTCATAACTAGGTTAGAGATTTGGTCAATCTCCGATATCTCGCCCCCTCTCGGACGTAAACCTGGCTCCATCACTGATTGGCTTACCACAGATTCATATCAGAGCAACTAAATCTACCGTACATCCAGCCATTTTTTCTTTTTGATAAAATGAGTTTAATAAATGGCTATTTGTTCTTGTTTTTTTTAAAGGTAAACATGTCTACTACATCCAATAAAACAAGCTCCTCAAACAGCTCCCAGTCTACTCAAGTTAAAGATTTACCATTCACACCCTCTAGTGGTCTACAATCAGCAGCCAGTATTGATACAGATACATCTCAAGAAGAATCTGTCAAAATTCCCAAAAAATCTCCAATGAAAGGATTTCAAGATGAAATACTGAGAGAAGTTGTAAGTTGTGATTTTGATTGCCATTTGATCACTAGATCAATGAACAGGGACAGTTGTGCCATTTTGAGGGGTTGATTTGATTCTTGAAAATATATTTATTATAATTAATAGTCTTAAGAAGTACTAGTAGTGTACAAAAATTGCAAAAAAAAAAAAAGAATGAAAACTAGGAATTTCTTTTCCTATTCCTATAGATGTCTTTTAACTATATATGACAGTAGCTTTCTGCACACACATAGATTTGAAGTCTAGTCAAATTTTAACCGTGATCAGTGAACGTTATTACTGATTGGCTGTACTAAAAAAATTCTGTTTCTGAGACAAAGGTATGATTGTTCAAAAAAAAAAAGGGCGCAATGGTCCCTTTAAAGGCCAAAAAGTTCACTTGATCTAAGCTCCATACATTAGTTACATTTGTATATATGCTAGACAAGCTATCATATTTGCTGTAACATGGGTTACTTGTCATTCCTTTTGGAGATTTCTTTCAGCTTGCAATTTTAAGGTAACTTGGAATTTATGTATTCTAAGCTTCAACTAATTCATATAGTGTTTTTTTCTAAGTTACCAAGGGTCATATCAATTGTTTGTTATCTCATGACGTTCAGATGATAATTCATGTCATTCTGTTACTGAAATTAATGTGCAAAAATGAATGAAAAATAGAAACAGGAGAAGTAGCAAAGGGCTAGAAACTCGAAGAAACAAGCTTATATAGGTCCAACATGAACTGTATTTTTCATTATTATTTTTTTTTGGAGAACTTTTGTTTATTATCATTGATTTGTGTTTTAGTGTGCTAACAATGGACTCAATTTCAATAAATTGGAGAATGGTGAAGGAGAATCTTTGGGTGTATTTGAGATGTTTTTCTCTGGCTATCCACAGCTAATTGGTTTAAAGTATTTTCCTAATCTACATACACTCACAGTGATTGGTCAAACTGTAGATAAAATACAAGGTTTAAATTCTCTGAGTAAATTAAAAGAACTGTGGCTTTGTGAATGTGAAATAAAGGTAATTTATATTTCTATGTGAAGCTGTATAGATCAACATATTACTTTTAAACTTTTCCTGCTGTTTGCCCCTGTTTGTGATATGGTTCAAATAGACTTACATGGAAAAAAGCATCTTGTAGTTTGCATGTAAAATAAATCCCTTGACAGTTAAATATCAAGCTGAAAACTTATGTGCCCTTTACTTGGGAATGTCCCTTCTTTATTACCAGTTGCAGAACAGTAGGATGGAAAACCCTTTTCATTTTCTTTTCAAGTTTTGTATCAAAAATGAAGTATCTATTCCACACTAGGTTAACATATGGGAGAATCCAACCCTCCTTTCCCCCAAATGAAATAAACTTCATGTAAATGCACTTGAATTTTTATTGTTAAATGGATTGTAAAGAGGTTTTCTGAATTTTTTTTTATGATTTTGGGGACACTGATATCATTAATTTGCACTATTCCAATTTTCAGTAAGAGGCCTGTTATTCCTGCAATTCCATTAAAATCGCAAAATATGCTTTAACACATAAGACCCTTCGCGATTAGTGATGTCATCAAACACTTAGTTTTAGTGGAATTGCAGGAACCACAGACATCTGATTGAAAATTGAAATGGTGCAAATAGCTTCAACAGTTTTTCTGATACACGTAAAAATTAAGAAAACCTTTTTTAATATTGCTTATTATTTTCAGAAAATAGAAAATCTCTCCCATTTAAAAACTCTTCATAAGTTATATTTATATTCTAATAAGATTAATAAAATAGAGAATTTGTCAACATTAACTCAACTAGAAGTTTTATGGTTGAATAATAATCATATTGAAAACATTGAGGTAAGATACATAGAAATTATTTCCTCCTAACAGTTTGGATGTAATATTTTTGTATTGAAGTTTTTTTGTTTTGTAGGAGGACCAATTGAAAATGACTACAACTACAACACATATATTTTTTTATATGATGAAAGGAATTCAGTGCTTAGAACAAAAATCAGATGAACTTACTTCAAATGTTCTTCACGAAAACTAAAAAAATTTTAGTCACTAGCTATGTAGAATGTAGTGTAGTCATTGTAGTCATACATGTGTAATCTATCGATGTTGTCGGGTTTCTACGGCTTTTGCATGTTGTCTACCGCTCTACTGACGGGATTCCCAATTCTACCAATTGTTTTTTTTCTGACCAAATTTTCACGGGACCTTCCGTTTTCAATGTTCAAATTCTCTACCATAAATCAACAAAATATCTATCATTACTTGTATCTTGACTGCTGGTAACACGAGTTAAGCTCATCATGTAATAATATTATGATTGCCTGATTAATTAATCCCCCAATTAAGATGGTAGTTTGATCTATTTTCACCCGATAATGTGTATTTTAAGCCCACGTGACACACTTTTTATAACAACATCCGATAGACTCTACTTTCGCCTTTATAACAAATTTTACGGTAGCCCTAGGACGGAATGGTATTTCTCTTTGATTGTTTGGAATTTTTGACATCATATCCAAATCTATATTTTTACAAGCTTGTTTCACACAAAAGCTATGGACTAAATGGGATAGATTTATTGAAGAGAATAATAGAATATTGCTCATTTGTTGTTTATTTTTCAGAATATATCTGCATTATCAAAGTTAAAAGAGATTAATTTAGCTGAAAACAATATTAAGCTAATAGGTAAGAATAACCCTGGTTTTGGTATAAGCTTAGTCATGTTTGCTCCCAAGGTCTAAATGTTTGACAGAACGGTTTCACTTCTGTGGATTGGACCTAATGGTTTCACCTATATGATTATTATGAGTATGATTATCTAAGAGTATTTTATATACTTATTATTATCTTCACCATGTCAAATCTAATACCTTATCTTTCTTGTATCATGGACTGACATGGAAAGACAATCCAGTCGTTTGGATGGGACAAGAAAGAGACTTTGCAAGTTAATGATCCATAGACAGTTGGAAATCGAAAAGAGAAGAATAGTGCGGCTGTCCTTGCAAATTTCACTCATGCACACTGCATGGCATTGCCCATCTTCATCAGCCTCATAAATTGCAGAAAAGTACTTGGTAAAATTCAATTCAATTCAGTTTTTTTCGATGATTGTTTTTTGTGTATTTTTAGGTCACAGTTTTGATGCTAATATTGGTTTAACAGAATTAAATTTATCAGGAAATCCATTGTCTTCATTAACGGTAATTGTTTATTTTATATTTGCTTTTGTGCAATAATTAGTTGAAAGACAGAAATAAAAAAAATTTTGTAAATAATAAAAATTGAAGAATGATATACTCACAGTGAGCAATGTTTAATAGGAATGTTACTGTATCATTATTCAATTGGACCAAATTGTCATTGGTGTTATGGGGTGAGAGTCCACACCGAGCTGACTCTCGGAAGCACTTACCATGGCATCAGAATTTTTTTGAGGACATTTTAACCCACAGCACCTTATTGCTTAGTAGACAACAATTTAACTTGCTACCGAATGAGCCATTCCACTACCTGTTTAATACTATTATATTTACTGTGTTGAGATATTATAAACTCAGACACTTTTCTTTTATTACCAAAGTTTGTAAATGCAATGATTTATTTCGATTGAACACCAGCCAATCAGGACTCTCCACAGAAAGACTATAAATACTGTAAACAATATGGCCGCATATGTAATCGAGGGGCTTGATTGCAGACATGTATGACTTTCAGATATTTTCGTAATTCCAGAAATGGGTTAACAGATAAGCCAAAATAATGACGCGGAAAAAGTCCATTCTTTTGTGTGTGTATTATCATTTTAAAAGTATTTCTTGTTCGTGTTTGTCTCTGACCTCTGTTTGACCTCATCCATTTCGCTGGTATTCGGGTACCTCTTTCAAAATGCAGACCTGCCTGTTATGTAATGTTATTTCAATGGAAGAGCTAACTAGCGCGTGGTTAACCTGGGTTAATACTATAGTGACATTGCCTGAGTTTTGAAAATATTGAAGTTGAGTTCTGACGCTGTTTTCGGAATAAATTCGAAAAAAATAGGCCATTATTTTTGTAAAATGGAAGTGGATAGTGCGACATTGGGATGTACTTTTCAAGATACAAGAAAAGTGTGAAGATGACACACTTGATAAATTAAGATACCTAAATCATTGAGTATTATATTTCAGATTAAGCTTTATGTATTGTTTTATTTCAGGATCTTACTAATTTAATCAGACTTCCATTTTTAAAAAGTTTAAGTTTTAAAGATCCACAATATCAACCATGTCCAGTCAGTATTCTATGTAATTATTCTATTCATCTACTATATCATCTACCTACTCTACAACGATTAGATACTTACGATGTATCTTCTAAACAGCTTGCTGAATTAGCTGAGGTAGGCTACTCATGTTTTATGACATTTATGAGGATTGTTAATATATTTGATAGTACAAATAATTAAACGGGAATTGTACAGGTATTGAAAATAAAAGGGTGGATCTTTTTTTAATTCAGTTCAGTAGAGTAAATAAAAAGGGCATTGTATATATAATTTTCAGAGCATTTGATAAAAAAGATGATAGTTTATAAATTTCAGAGTATAGTTAGTAGGATTGTTAATATATTTCAGAGTTTGGGCAATAAAATACTTCAGCTTATGAATTTAAAATCACAAAAAAAGCTTTGTTATAAATTTCAGTATATTTAGCAAAACTGTTTATAAATTTCAGAGTGCAGTTAGTAAAAATATGATGGTTTTAGATTTCAGAGTACAGTTAATAAATTTGTGTTGGTTATAGATATCAGAGTGCAGTTAGTAAAATTATGATGGTTATAGATTTCAGAGTACAGTTAATAAATTATATGATGGTTATAGATTTCAGAGTGCAGTTAGTAAAAATATGATGGTTATAAATTTCAGAGTGCAGTTAGTAAAAAATATGATGGTTTTAGATTTCAGAGTACAGTTAATAAAAATATGATGTATTATAAATTTCAGAGTACAGTTAGTAAAAATATGATGTATGATAAATTTCAGAGTACAGTTAATAAAAATATGATGTGTTATAAATTTCAGAGTACAGTTAATAAAAATATGATGTATGATAAATTTCAGAGTACAGTTAATAAAAATATGATGTGTTATAAATTTCAGAGTACAGTTAATAAAAATATGATGTATTATAAATTTCAGAGTACAGTTAGTAAAAATATGATGTATGATAAATTTCAGAGTACAGTTAATAAAAATATGATGTATTATAAATTTCAGAGTACAGTTAATAAAAAGAAGATGTATTATAACATGAGAGTAAAAACAATTCACTGTAATTTAACATCTGTTATAATCAAACTAGAGAAATATAGAGATTTATTATTGGAATTTCCACATCAGAAGATAATGACTTTAGTTAGTGCAATAAAAGAGGTGAAATTTACTATTTCAATTGCTTATATTCTATGGCTTTATAATTGGGCTATAAAAGTGTTGAACAATGAAACCTGATGTTCACAAAATCGCATGGCTGATTTGTATTGTAGATGGACACAATCACAAAGAAGGTTTCATAATACCTGATCTTTAAATGACATTTAGAAGTAGATGATCATGTATTTGTTTGCAGCAACATAATCTGTCCATCTAATACACATGTATTTTTAGACATATTGTTCTGCGAAATATGGTGTAAATTTATTGTTAGTATTTAACACATAAAAAGATATACTTGATGAATCAATCAATGAATCAAAAGTAATGCCGAATCACTCTATGTTGTTGTATAATAAAAGAAGTTAGACAACACCTTTTAACAGTGATTAAGGTATTTTATTCTACCAGCTTTTGTCGTCATCGAGACAACTTCATCATACAAATGCTCTGGGAGCCGTGAAGGCTCATTGAGTTAGACGCTTGCTCGCTAACCTGAATCCCGGCATAATCCCGGCATAGGTCGAGATAATACCTTCGGATTTTTCAACCCGGTTTCCCCCTGTCAGTGATGCAGGTAAGAGGGGCATGGAAAAAGCGTCTAGTCATTCGGATGGGACAATAAACCGATGCCCCGTGCGCTACAGGCTATGCACGTTAAAGATCCCTCGACAGTTGGAACTCAAAAAAGAGCAGGCTAATGCCGCTGTCCTGGCAAGATTTCCCTCATGGCACCCTGCATGGCGTTGCCGTCTTCATTAGCCTACAAGGTGCAGAAAAGTAGGACGTAAAACTCCATTCATTTCATTTCATTTCATTTTCATACGAATGCTCGTAGAATAAAATACCTTAATCACTCTTAAAAGGTGTCTTCTTACTTCTTTTATTATACCTACAAAATCACGTAAAGTTTTGTCAAAAACAGACTAAGACGTGAAATGAAGATATGCATGTACATGTGCATCATTATGTTCATGATCATAAGTCAAATTCATGCAATATCTGATTATTCACAAATTAAAGTAAACAGTTGAAGTGGCTTTTGTCTGACATATTAATGTTTCAACATGCAGTCATATGATCGGTTTAATCTCCTTGGAAGAATATTAAGTTAAGACCTACCTTAAGTTGCAGAAGCCAGTTTTGTTAACTGCACAGTATTAAAAAGAAAGCTTTAGTGTACAATGACTTTGATATATTATGGCAGTTGAGATCACTCCTACTTTTTTAAATTTTCCAATTTTGTCGGAAATTTGAAACAAAGCATGATGGTTTTTTGTATAGATCTCAAGGAAAATGAATGGTTATTTAAACTAGTGTATGTATATTTTGTAGTTAGAAAGAGAAGAAGAAATACAAGTGTTATCAGCTGATGTTAATAGTGATACAGAAAGTGAACGAGATGCCAAGGGAATCAAAGTATGGTTTTTCAAATCTTCTTAAAATTTAGGTCTAATAGCCTATACGTGAATTGTCACAAAATTTAGTTTGAGTGTGAAATTTCATCTTCAAGACCTAGATTTGAGTGGAGAATGAAGAATCAATTTTTATACTTTTTCTCAATACATCATGAACATTTCTAAGTAGGGCTTCCTCACACTGGAAAACCTGGCACTTCTTTGGCTCTTATATAAATGATATCAAGTGTAGTTTTTGTGTAAAATTCAGCAGAATAAGTGTTATTTATTACCTTTATCCTTAATTCAATGTTTACTGGCTACAGTGAAACATGGTAACAATCTGTACTAATTCAAAAGTTTTGAAGATGTGATGGAATAGAATATACAGTAGCAGTGTCATAATTTGGTCACTTTTGGGGGGAAATTAATGAATCACAGACATGAGACTGGAATTTTAAATATACATGAACAGGAGAGGGTATTATAGACAATAGCCTGTTCCCTAATCCTATTATGTAAATAAATATTGTTTATACAAGAAAAAAAAAAAAAGAAAAAAAAAAGGAACATGGCTAGAAGAATTCTTTTAGGAGTGAAAAATTAATCATTATCAGAATTTTGGTGTAAAAGGTCAAATCTCTATCAATAATCAGTATGCTGTGATGATTGTTATTATTTTTCAGGAAAATACTGAAGCGAAGTCAACAAAAGCTATAGTAGAGAAAATTCAAGTTTTAAAAAAGAGAAGGAAAGAATGGGAAGAAAAGTGTGCTCAGTAAGTATGACTAGACCTAGACAAATTTTGTGGACTAGTATGACTTGTATCCATGTTGTAGAACAGGTTAATTAGCTGAAACACCACTTTAGCTTTTAGAGTTGCTGAAGTGACAAGAGCTCAGGTCAAAAGGTCAAATGGGGTCCATGAAATTCCTCAAACTGAAGCTTTTGTTGAGGCATATTTTCTGATGTTAATGGCATTAAAATATATGTGGAAGTGACCAACCTTACTTGAAATATATTTTGTGGTTGATCTGAATATTTTACTTTAGTAGGATGTGAAATTTAAAAAGCACTTGTTATTGTTAATACACCTATGACCCAGCCAGAATTATGAACTCGAGATTTCTTATTTTCTCAACTCTGTACAAAATATGAAAATACCAGACTGAAGCTTTCATTCTGAAAAGTTCAAAAGTGTATGATCAAAGATTGAAAATTTCATACTGGTGATTGTTGCTGTACTGCTAAATATTTTTAATCAAAATCAAAGCTGCTAGTGGGCGTATTTTACTTTGCCTGGCAAGCTATCTTACTTTTTTTTAACGATTTGAAAATTTTAGTTGAAAGATTTAAAGATGAATTTTGTTTTTGTAGATTGACAGCTCATTGTGAAGATAGTGTTGAAAGATTTAAAGATGAATTTTGTTTTTGTAGATTGACAGCTCATTGTGAAGATAGTGTTAAAAGAATTAAAGATGTATTTTGTTTTTGTAGATTGACAGCTCATTGTGAAGATAGTGTTAAAAGAATTAAAGATGTATTTTGTTTTTGTAGATTGACAGCTCATTGTGAAGATAGTGTTAAAAGAATTAAAGATGTATTTTGTTTTTGTAGATTGACAGCTCATTGTGAAGATAGTGTTAAAAGAATTAAAGAACAATCAGAAAGATTAATTAGTAGATTAACTATTGAATTAGAAACTGGTGGTAATGTAAGATTTGAAGATGGTACACCATCAGATGTTTGGTTAGTAAATTTAATCTATTTACATATTATAAGCATACACAGTAGATTAGTATCAGATGAACTTCTTATGACATATATATATATCTGTCTCAGGAAAACTTATAACACTTACCTTAAAGGAATAGGTGCTGCATTTTTGGGGGGGTTAATTTTAGTCTTGAATATATGTAAATAGTCTAGAAATATACAAAAATCACATAATTCCTTTAAAAATACTTCAAACTAGGAATTTTACTCAAGTTTTCTCTTAAATATCAATGACGTGTCATCATTTTAACATTCAAATGAGAATAATTCTGGACAGGAATGGATTTGAAGGCTCAAATTTCGACAGTGAGCTGTGAACACTAATACTGAAATACCAAAGAATTACCATACATATTTATCAATGCTATTTCTCAAATTATCAGTCCCAAGATGGGGTTGGTTGTGATCTTAAGGACACTGTCACAACTGTTTCTGAAATGCAGATGTTTCATGTCATTTCTTGTGCAAAATGGTGAATGGTGTAAGGCACAGAAAAACATGAGACAAAACATCTAGGTCTGAATGGGGTCCCCCAACTGACTTACAAAATCTAAATGTATATAAAATTCTTTACCTATAAGTCATAGACCATGAAAACGGAAACTTTTACTCTTGTGTTTTATGTGAAACATAAGTTTTAGCATAATACATACCAATGTTGGTGTTGGTTTCAGGTTTAGTTCATGTCACGATTTAGTCTTATCACGATTTTGCTCTGCTGATTATCGTGATCGAGGTATTATGGGTATAAAGATACATCGTATAATAAGAATACATCATCGTATGTTACGAACTAAGTTTGATAATAAACTCAATGATCTGACTGATGATAAAACAGTGGAAGAATTTTCATCAACAAAGTGAGTTATAATTATACTTTCAGTTTCTTTTATTTTATCTAAAATTTAGTTGATTTGATGTAATTTTGCAAGGCAAAAAAAAATATGCATGTCTTTTTT